CACTCAGCATCTTGAGGACAAGATCCAGGAAGTCGGAATAAAATACAGGAAGTCAGAATAATTTAGACTTTTAATCATCGACCCCGGTAGTCAATAAATTATTGTTTACTTAAATAATTGAATAGGGCAACTCTGCTGTATTCATTCAGAGAGGTTGAGCAGTGGCATAACAGTGAGTGGACTGCACGATGAGCCCAGTGGCTTAAGTTGTAGTCCTGGCCGTGGCTAACATCAGTGGCGAGCGATATCTGAACCGGTCCTGATTCGCCACGAAACCAACCTGGTGAAGTATGGTCAACCTCCCATGATGAACACTGCATGGGAAGACCTTCATCCAGCAGTGGATTGACAAGGACCCATAGATTATAAATTATTTTGTTAACTTAACCAGGAGAGATATTTTCTGTAAGTGAGACCTGATTACCCATATTTACTGTAAGACACATTCACATTTTCAAGGTCGTCTGGGTTATGTTTTTCTTTCTCCACATGATGGGGTAATTTTGCAAATGACATGACATGGTTTTGAACATATGCATTACAGCTAATGGTGCACAGGTGTCTATTTGTGTTTGGTATGGCTTTGGCTGCACTATTCCGTTGGCATGGGTGAGCGGCAGAATTGGTGTGGGTGTTGTTGCAGTTCTGAGAGATGTTGACAGATGGGTATGGGTGGGTGTACGAGTTTTATTATACGTAGGAGATGCACGTGTGCGCGCGTACATTTGCGCGTGGCAAGCGGTGGCAGAATAGTTGGCGCACTGCTAACTATGCCTCGGATTAGCATGGTTGGCTACGTACGGCGCGAAAGAAGTTCAACACAAATACCGCGATAAAATCGTGGCGACCTCGGTTCAATTCCCGCTCGTGCACGCCAATGGCAAGCGGTACCTGTCAGCTGTCATTGCTTTCCCCTCGCGTCCGCCCAACTGCGGCGGCGGTGTGTGTGTGTGAACGACCGGCAGCGGGGAGACAAAGGTGGCTGACCGGATTAGATGGGTGTGGACGGGCGTGTGTGTCGCGTGGGCCGCGGTGCGGGACGGCAATACTCGATCCCCCGCATCCCACTCGCGCAAGCCTGTCATCGCTGGCGCGCCCACAATGCGGCGACAGACGGAGCGGTGAGGACAGACAATGGGGAGTCCGCGCATTTATGGCCGGGGTTCAATTAACGGACGGCCTGTCGCTCGCCTCGCAAAGGAGCCAGTGCATCCCTTCCCGCCGTTTAATTTCTATCAAAGCCGTGTACAAACACTGACCGTGGGGCTGCCCTCCACTGTGCACGGCCTCCCTTCGCCCACGCACCAAATGCTCGCTCTTTTTTGTTGTTGTTGCCTATTTCCGCACAGCAGCACCCCCCTCTCTCTCTCTCTGTACCGTCAAGTGGAGGCCATAGCTGAATTTAGCCTCTGGGATAAGTGAGTCACAGCCCCGGGGGCCTATATATATTAGAGGCGCCTGCTCTGCCCTGCTCGTTCGTCAACTGGGGAGGCCTGCGCTCGGTAACATTTATTGGCCCAGGGCCTCATGATTTACTTCATTCGGCCGCTGGGCAGTTGCTCTCACAACTGGGCACCGTCTCCCATGGGAAAAGCACCCAGTAATTATCTCTAATGAAGAAAGGCACGGCCCAGCAGTTCTGGAGCCCCAAAGCTTTTCTCAGGCCCGTGTAGTCCCAAAACAGGGCTGTCACCTTTTTTTTTTACCAGAACAGCAGGACCTGGAAAACAAACTTAGAAGGGTGATAGGCCATGGCGGGGAGCCTGTGATTGCAGCTCTGATCTTGCGGAGGGCAGGGAAGGCACCCATGAGAGGTCTTGGTGGTGGCGTAACCTAAATGCCGCTAGCAGGTCGTGTGTGTAAGGGTAAAGTGTGGATAGGCTGAATGCCCTCTTGAGGGGCTCTATAGAGCTGCTTCTGGTGGAGGCCTTTCCACCACCAGTGGCACGAGACAGCAGTTGCAGAGCTGCACCTTTACCTTGTACATGACACTTTAGTGCCTGTTATTTAACAACTTGTGCCACCGCGCCTCACAATGTCGTGTTCCAGCAGGGATACACCCGCCACTCCTGGGTGCCACGGTGGGGAAATGTTCAAGTACCTCATCTGGTATACAGGAGGGCATGGGTTCGATCACGACCCCGATGCCTGTATATTTTGAGTTTGCACGTCTCTCTCCCTGTGTTCGCGTGGATTTTTCTCCGGGTGCTCCGGTTTTTCCCTCCACATTTAGAATCAGCGTGCGTTTTGAGTATTTGGCTGCTGTACAATTTCCGCACAATGAGCCACTTCGTTGAGCTATCATTTGTGGCCAGGTCGCTTCTGAAAAAGAGTTATAGAGCTCAGTGGGCATTACCTGGTAAAATAAAAAAGAAGTTTAGGAATGGACTCCTGCCTCGGGGACAGTCCCAACAATGGAGAGCAAAGACAAACATTTATTTTATCCATCTTGGCGGAATGCAGACATCATTTTCACAGCTACTGCGTCTGCTTAGGTTTGAACTTCTTAGCACAGGTTGGGGCGGGAGCAGTTGCGAAAGTCTTGGGCATCAGTTATTCTTCTGTAGGTCGTTTGCAACAAGAGCCAGATGGAATCAGGTTAGCAGACTTCACTTCTCATCTGATGTGAAAGCTGCGGCGGCGTTGTAAACGCATCCGTCGTGCGACGTCCACGTCTCCTCCCTTGACGTCGTAAATCTTCCTTCGGGAAAAATGTCCCGAAGCAGAAGAGTCGTGCTGGATACAGACGGTCGGTCAACATTTGCGACTGTGATTTGTAACCTGGGTACTTACTTGCCCGTGTGGTATCGATAGTTCAACGTTCATGTGCCATTTTATTGAAGGACTTCTGCTGTTGTGGTCTTATCTTGGTGTGGTCTGGGACTCGCTTGTTGTTCGTGCCGCTTTGGCCAAGATTTATAAATCGAACTAGGCTCTGGTGTAGACCAATCAGTTTCAAAGACAATGCACATACTGTCAGAGCATGTTTTTTTTGTTTGCATGTTCACCACAAATATATGTGGTTAATGCAGACATGATTCCTTGCAAAGGTTTCATTTTGGTGTTTTAACATCTTTACGCAACTGTTTTGATTGAAAGCTTTCGTGACTGCAGGGATTCGTATTCTTGGTTCTTTCGGTAAAGTCACGTAGAAGGGAAATAATAAAATAATATAAAGATAAAAAAAATTCTCACGACGTTTCGACTGCAACACAAGCAATCATCATCAGGTGTGAAATCCACAGCGAGAAAATTTTGAAAAAACGATTTCATTGCCAGAAAGGGGGAAAACCCGATTATCATACAAGGAAAGTGTCTCGGTCTCCTGTGTCCGAGAATTAAAATCGGCGACTACATCCCTCAAATTGCAGAAGCGGTCCGTGGGGTATCGCACAAGCCCACGTGGTGTCACCGAGACGTCGAGAGAGAAAGATGATGCTACAATCTGTAAGCGGCCAGAGCTGTTTTCCGTTTCTAATTCTAATGTCTGGCCGCCAGTGCACGCCACAGGTCACTCTTAATTACAGGTCTCATGCGCAAAAATGATAATCGTTTTCTACCAGCAACCTCCTCCTCCGTGCAAACTAATTCGGGTGACGTAAAAGTCGCAGGGACTGCGCCCGCTGAGCGTTTTTCTGTTGACGCGTCGACGCACGCTGCTTGCTGTCGGCGCGCGCTGCTTGCTGCCGGCGCGCGCTGCTTGCTGCCGGCGCGCGCTGCTTGCTGTCGGCGCGCGCTGCTTGCTGTCGGCGCGCGCTGCTTGCTGTCGGCGCGCGCTGCCGGCCGCGGCGGCACGAATCGGAAAAAATTCGGAACGTGGATGGAGAAAACGTGGAACGGGAACACCGAAGGGGCGTTCTCGCGGCGGCACTGAGCGACGACGGGAGGAGGATGAGGAGGGAGCACCTGGAGCAGAGAATCCAACGCCAAATCTTAAGATGAAATTACGACTGTCAGATGTGGGTTTTGTGGGGCTTGGGTCGGGCACATCACTGGAAGGGATGATGGCCGACTGGTGATGGGATTGTATCCAAGGGTGATAATGCCCCCCAAGAGGACCACTACCTTGGAGATGGAGTAATGAGACACCGTTTTTTTGGATTTTGGGGTTAGACAGAGGCAAGAGTATGGATTACTCGCATAAGATAGAGCATTTAACATCCATTTTACAACAGATGGTGCATTTGTTGTTGTTGTTGTTGTAGTAATAGTTGCAGAAGTTTCTGGGCGGCCGTGGGATTTGAACAGTCAACTCTCGGTGGGCAATGACTCAGCAAAGCGAGCTTGCAGGCATTCTTTTACCGCCTTGCCTTTAATGTGCGTCTATAAAACATGATTGATGAGTGAAGTGGCCGGGTAGCTCAGAGGTCTCGTAATGTGCGCATCGAGGGACTGAGCCAGCCACCGGTCAGATCCACTCGCGATTAAACCGAGTTCTCAAACTGAGCGGTACATTTGTCGCTGCCGGGCCAAATCACCAACGATTGCACACGCAAAAAAACAAATCTATTGCAGCCCTTTGTCCACTGCTGGATGAATGCCTCTCCGTGCCACGTCGGTCGTGGGGGTTGTTGTACCGTACTCCACCGAGTTGGTCAGTGCAGGTTGGTAAGGCCTGTGATCAGAAAATCTGTCGATACATGCATCTGTGTATGTATTGCTCTCAGGGTGGTAGTGCAGTGGTTAGCGGCCCGGGTTCGATTCCCACTCGCGACCAATTTACAGTGGCGAACATTTGTACCAGTCCTGGGCATCCTCTCGGTTGACTCAGCCTGAAATGAGTACCCCGTGTTGTGAGCGCAAACGTCGGCACTGGGTGAGACAAAGGCAGACGGGGCACGGTGTTTGGCCACCCAGCGCCCCCTCTTGTGCCGTGCCGGCCTTCATAGGTCGCTGCTGCTCGCGAACGGCACTTGCCCCAGCGGTCTCCTGAAGGCTTTACGCGGCGGTGGGCGTGGGCGGCGGGGGTTGATCTCCGTCTTTGTGTTTTTTATCCCCAGGGCCGGCGGTGCCGCTGACGAAGCGGCGGTGGCGGTCCCGGCCGCGGGGCAGACGCGTGCGGGCCCGGAATGCCTGGCGAGGGCCGCCCGGCGCGAGGGCCCAGCGGGCGGGGCCCTGGAGAGGCGTGTGGACGAGCTGGAGAAGGTGAGCGGGGACTCCCCCCCCACCCCCGTCGCTCCTCGTAAAACGATAAAACTTTTATTTGACCAGGTAAGGTCCCTTTGAGCTGTATCGTAGTTTTTTTTTTCAGAAGCGACCTGGCTTTCACGAATGGCAGTTCAACGGAGCGGCTCATCGTCACGTGGAGTTTTACAGCGGACAAATCACTTTTAAGCGCGTGACGTTGGTTCTAAATGCGGAGGGGAAAACCCGGAGGACCCGGAGAAAATCCACGCAACCATGGGGAGAGAGAGAGAGAGAGAGACACACGATCTCCAAATATATAGGCGTCAGGGTCGGGATCGAACCCACGACCTCCTGGTTATCAGGCGAGGTAGCTGACATCTCACCACCCTGCCACCCGGCATCTCTCACTCGTTTGCTCTCTCGCTCCCTCTTGGCTTGCCACCCCTCAACCCTCGCTCCGCTATCTCACCGTCGCAGTTTTTGACCGATTCGGTTTTGAATGTGGACAGAGAAACACAAGGGACATTCCACGCATTGCCTTGTTGATATGTGAAATCACCAATACGTCTTCATCATGATTGTCGTCATCAGCACATCATCACCATTATCATCATTATCACCACTGCTGCCATCATCACTATCACCATCATCATGATAATCAACACTACCACCACTCATCAAAGCATAATTGTATGCCTTGAAAAGCCAGGTGTGTGCGTATTGTTGATTGCTTATACCTAGCTCCGTGAGTCACGAGTCATTTGTTTTGCATTCATTAAAGCCTCCTTCAAGTTCAGTAAATCGGCGCAGTGCTAAATCACATCACCTGCCGATCTCAGTCTTAACCGGACACGTGTCGTAGTGAAAGGAGGGAAAAAAAAATCTACGCCTAAGCATCGGCAAACATTTGTTTTCCAATGCGCGCGCTCGCACAGCGTGTAAATTGAGCCATCAATAATGTTCCGCGGCAAGGGATACGGAGAGGAAAAATAACTTTGCACGCATTACGAGTGCTGACAGCTGATACGCATTTTACTTTGGTGGGGGTGGTGGTGGTGGGGGGGGGGCAGGGAAATAGGGGTCCCTGTTAAATGGGACTCGTAATGGGCCTGTGTTGAGCAGTGTAATAGAGTGACCCCGGCAGTGTTTGCTGGGTAATGCTCGCGTGCTCCCAGAGATTAGGGGCTCGATCCCCCCACGTCACGACGCGTGCAGGTGCTGGGCCCTCGTGTGCGGATGCTGTTTCGGCTTACCGCGTAGAAGAGAAGCAAGAGGTCCCGTCACAGCTCTTTAATGGAAACCACGGCGTTTAGGAGAAAGAGGTGTGAATGCGTTAATTGACCTATGCAACGCGACGCTCAGGGGGGCCGTGCGTTGTCACGTGAACATGTTAATGCTTTGACTGGCTAAGGTAGTTCAACCGATTTCCTTTTGTCTCATAACCTTTTATACAATCATTTAAGTTGAACCTGGATGACAACATTCACTCATTCCTGCCGGTGTAGGAGCCTGCACAGAGACGGATAACGCTGTCGATGTATAGCGCATATACAGGCTGGCCCAAAAGTCAGGGCACACAGGGTTATTATAACACTGACATGAAAACATTTTAATTGTTTTTTCTTCAAGGTGTCTTATTATTATTTATTGTTTTCATTGCCGTGGGGTCACCTCCAATCCATCGTTGACAACACTCGACCAAGAACCCTGAATTAATTGAGATAAAGCGTAATTGCCGAGCACCTTGAGCTGAGGAACTCTATGAATATAAGATAAGATTACACCTTTCGATTTAAAGCTTTCGTGACTGCAGGGATTCATCTTCTTGGTTCTTTCGGTAAAGCCACGTAGAAGGGAAATAATAAAAATAAAACATAATAAAATACTTAAATATACGCTGCAAAGCATGGTGGTGCTCATTCAGACGCTGTCTTTTCGACAGACCTGTTCTTAACCTGAGGACGGCTGCTTGCGTTGTGGCCGAAACGTCGTGAGAATTGGATTTTATTATGTTAAATTTTTATTATTTTATTATTTCCCTTCTACGTGACTTTACCGAAAGAACCAAGAAGAAGATTACACCTGTAATTTAATTTAAAAAAGATAATTCATGCATGCATTCATGTTAACGGGAAGTCGGTGTGTGACAATGCTTTAAGGTAACTGACTTTCGCGCCACCCCGTATGAAGAGAGGTGGCATAGAGGTGGCATAGAGGTGGCATAGAGGTGGCATAGAGGTGGCATAGAGGTGGCATAGAGGTGGCATAGAGGTGGCATAGAGGTGGCATAGAGGTGGCATAGAGGTGGCATAGAGGTGGCATAGAGGTGGCATAGAGGTGGCATAAAGGTGGCATAGAGGTGGCATAGAGGTGGCATAGAGGTGGCATAGAGGTGGCATAGAGGTGGCATAGAGGTGGCATAGAGGTGGCATAGAGGTGGCATAGAGGTGGCATAGAGGTGGCATAGAGGTGGCATAGAGGTGGCATAGAGGTGGCATAGAGGTGGCATAGAGGTGGCATAGAGGTGGCAGGAAGCTCAGGGGTTAGAAGGCTGCAGCAGGAACGCTTAGGGCCTGGGTTTTAATCTGGGTCTCAGTCACCCATGATTAAAGTGGGTTCTCAAGTCCAGCGAGTCGATGGTTCCAGGCTGGTTAACATTGCCTGCACTAAACAAATCCAAAAAACCCTCTTTCAAATTAAATTTGGATTTTCACTTACATTTTTTTTTTGCAAATATTCCAGTATGACAAGTGTCCCTATATAGCGGATTTCATGGGATATTGTATCAGCAGCTATGAGGTCTCTTGAACAGAACTCATAAATATTTGTATTTTTTATTTCACTTCTGCAGGCCGTTTGCTAAGGCGGGGTGATACAGTGCCTTGTGAGTGTTCCGATTGGACGCTTCTTCTCCTGACATCACATCGATCATCCAATTGGCACACGTTTGGGAAAGAAAGGACAAAACAATTGTGTGTATGTGGATATATATATAGGTTATAAATTTTAGAAGTACATTTGCAATATATATGCATTTCGGCATAACTGATAATATAATCGGTCATGTAGGGTTAATGGGCACGGGCGCAGACCTGCCTGTGAGGAAAGGTGCAGATTCAATCACATTTGGGTCACTGATAAATACATAGGGTGCAGTGGGATTTAAAGCAAAACACTACGATAAAATCTCTGTTTTTCATTACGTATGTTAGCTTTTTATTAAACTTTATTCTCTTGATAGTACACTATCTCATTCGCTCTAGAAATAACAAAACAGCAACATTCAATTTTAAATAGCAGCACACATGGCCAACTCACGCGTAATGATTTGATTTTTAACTGAATGTAATGTCTGTTTGGGTAAGCGCCGTAGCAGAGAACCCACATCACGGTCTGAAGGTCATGGGTTCAGAGTTCACTCAGAGGTCAAGGAAACCCATCATCCCTCTGGGGTTGATAAAATATCCAACAGTCTACTTTTGGTGCATGTAACAAATATAAAAACTAATGTCATGTATTTTCACAATTTTAGGATAAATACAAGAAAAATTATGTCCTGTATCAATCCTTCACAGGAATAAACCACACCCCCCATATCTCGCGGATCATTGGATCTGTTTGACCTCACTTCCATGCTGCTCAATGTGGTTGATAAAGCAGGATAGGCCAGGAATCAAACTCAGGTCGCTTAGTTCGTAGTGCAGTGGTGAAACCCACCGTGGCACAAGCTTCCCCATTAAAGTAAAGAACAATTCATATTCAAACAAAGGTCTCCATGGGATTTTAACCTCGTTATGAGTAACGGTCATCTGTCGGTCTGTTTAATTTTCAGCAAAACTTAAATCATTGAAAGCAGTAAGTGCAGTGATTTGGAGTTTGGGCGGTGGCTCTGTGCTCACCCTCTGCCGGGTCAGGGTGAGGTTTCTCTTTCGTCAAGCGAGCTTGGCTGGCATATTATCTTAATTCGCTGGCATATTATCTTCATTTCTGGCATATTGTCTTCATTGCTGGCATAATATCTTCAATGCCAGCCCGGAGCCGTGGGTAAAAACTCCACTTTCTGGTTCAGACATCACTCGCCGCTGACATCAGCCGTGGCTGGGATTTAAATACCGCTTGCCACGTTCATAGGGCAGTGCGCTATGCACGGTGCAGTGTGCTAACCACATACATCACATTGGCTGCTTTTAATCCAAAGGTTCTCGATTACATTGCCTGCAACTCAAGCAAACTATAACATTGGCAATATTTCATAATAAAATAATAACAGTAAATAGATCATTTCGATTTAAAGCTTTCGTGACTGCAGGGATTCATCTTCTTGGTTCTTTCGGTAAAGTCACGTAGACTAAAAATAACAAAATAATAAAAATAAAACATAATAAAATAATTCTCACGACGTTTCGGCCACAACGCAAGCAGCCGTCCTCAGGTGGAGAACAGGTCTGAAGACGGCTGCTTGCGTTGTGGCCGAAACGTCGTGAGAATTATTTTATTATGTTTTATTTTTATTATTTTATTATTTTCCTTCTACGTGACTTTACCGAAAGAACCAAGAAGACAAATAGATCATATTAGTCCCACTGAGCATGTTTTTTGTTTTAGTTACACTGCCGACCTCTGTGATTTCGGGTTTTTGCCAAAAGAAGCTCCCCGGCACTTGGGGCGGAACGTCGGACTTCCCGCCGAAGGACACGCGCCCCACCCCGAAACGAACACGGGTGCCATTGGCATTGAGCCATGGAAACCTCTCGACGCTCTCGGCCAATGGGAATAGTTGTTTAAAAAAAGATGAACGTGGCTACAAAGGAGCTTTGATAAGTCAAGTTCAAAGGGAGCAACGTTATTGCCCCATATGCGTTCGTGTGCTTGTTTTCAGCAGCCAATTAGTGGGTGGACGAGCTGCGCTTAACCCCCCACGCGCACACCCATCTGTCCCAGCCACTCGGCGGACAAAGCACTTTTAGCGTAATGAGTGTCTGACGGAGGAGCCGACGCGTTCGCAACACTCCGGGCTC